CACTGTATCTGGGTCACCCCCAACAGCTCTTTTGTGAATGGTCACAGTTAATAAATAATAATCACCTTATACATTTTCTCTTTATCTGTTCACTATCTATCCACCCATCACAGGCATAAATTGAATAAATAAGTAAATAAAAAATAAAATAAATACCTCGGAGATATTGCGAGTTTGGTTCTAGACCACCACAATATAGCGCATATCACAATAAAGCGAGTCACATGAATGTTTTGGTTTCCCAGTTCATATAAAAGCTATGTTTATACTATATTGTAATCTATTAATTTTTTTATGTCTAAAAAAACAATTTGAATACCTTAATTAAAAAATGCTTTATTGCTAAAAAATGCTAATCATCAGATAGACTTGCTTGATGCAGGGTCGCCACACACCTTCAGTTTGTAAAAAAACCGCAATATCTGCGAAGTGCAATAAAGTGAAGTGCAATAAAATGAGGTATGCCTGTATTTTAAATATATACCTGTCTCAGGATTATATTCCATGATGTGGTAAGGTGTGTGATAGTTGTGAAAGCTTATATGATAATAAATGAGATAGCCTTTAAGGTGCTGCTTGAGGTATATTGCTTTTGCCGCAACAGAATAACACAACTGCCCCTTTGAGAATGACTTCTATTCCCTCATGCCCAAAGATACTCTGAATTATTACTTGACATTTATATACGGTATTGAATAATCTTGGCCTGATCAGCCTTCCTGCTTAGGAAATAAGGTTGACATATAAAAAGATCAGGGTGGTGAAGAGCCGCTATGATGAAGAGAAAGGAACACACAGCTGGGAATACTTGGACAACCAGAGTGCGGTCATACTGACAGCTGTGCTATGCTGAAGGAAGTGTGCTTGTGGGAAGCAGTACCTTGCTGTGTGGCTAGCACATAGGCAGACATACCTTTCTGAATCATCAGCCACAGATTTGCCTAGCTGCTCTGTTGCTGTAATGTGGAAGCGGTCATGGTTTGCAGAAGATGTTTATCTGGAGGAAAGCATGGAGTGGTTTCTCTATTTCTTTTTGTTGGGACTAGAGTTGCTTCTATGCTACATAGCATTAACTTTTAAATAGTGATGGCACAACTTTATGCCCTCAGTGAAATATAACTGTTCCAGTGAAGAAGCTATAGAAAAGGCCACAGTGTTGTTGTTGTTGTTGTTTTCTCTTAAAAGTTAATGTAAAAAACAGGACAGCTGATGGAGGTAACAGATATTTCAGATGATTAATTACCTATCTCTTGGCTAGGATATGATAAATTTCTTTGGGTGGAAGGCAGATAATTAATTCCATTCCCACTCAGAGCATGTCAGTATGTTCCAGTCAGCTTGCAGCAGTCTCAGTGTTGTATTACTTCAGTCTATAAGGACAACTACCCAGTAGAATAACATCTAACTCTAGCAGCAAGTACTACTTGTACAAGAGAGGGTTCCTCAAAAACAATAAATACACCAAGAATTTATAAATAAGTTAACAATAAAATTTTCAGTTTGCATGCCAGATAAAACTCCAGGCTCTCCAGGTTACATGCTGATCAACTCAAGGCTCTATGGGATGAAACGGATTTTCAGACCTGGCTGTGGAACAGAAACTGCCTTAGTCACTCCATGGGATGACCTGTGCTGGGAAAAAGACAGGGGAGCATGACCATATTGGGCCTCCTAGATCTCTTAGTTGCTTTCAGTGCCATTGAGTATGGTATCTTCCTGGACAGGCTGTCAGAGTTGGGGTGTGGGAGCACTGTACTATGGTGATTCCATTCCTACTTGTATGGCTGTTTCCAGAAGGTGGTGTTGGGGAATTACTGTTCTGTCTCACGATGGCTGGGTTATGGAGTCCCCCACGGCTCCATTTTATCCCTTATGCTACATCTACATGGAACAGCTAGGAGATATGGGTTTAGGTACCATCAATATGCAGATGATGCAGAGCTCTTATTTTCCTTTTCATCTAACTCAGGTGAGATGGTTGACATTCTCATCTAGGGCTTGGGTAAGGTAATAGACTGGGGGACGGCTAATAAATTGAGATGCAATCCAGACAAGATGGAGATACTGTTTGTGAGTGGCACATCTGTCCAGCTGTATGATGTCCTGCTGGTCCTGGAGGGGTTCACACTCTAAAGGAGGAGATTCACAGTTTGCAAGTGCTCCTAGATCCATTACTGACACAAGAGGGCCAGGTTGCCTTGATGGCATAGTGTGCCTTTTATCAGCTTCAGCTGTACCAACTGTGACCATACCTGGATAGAAACAGCCTTGCAACAGTTATTCATGCTGTGGTACTTTCCTGGTTGGATTATTGCAATGTATTGTAAGTGGGGATGCCTTTGAAAACGGTCTGGAAACTTCAGTTAGTTCAAAACAGAGCAGCTGTTCACTGACACTGGCCAATATGAACACTATGAACATTGTAGTGGTATGTGGGAATGACCTTGGGAGACAGGGGGAACAGCGACAGCCAAGGGAACAGTTGGATAAGAGCCAGCTTAGCCTGCAGAAGGAATGTGGACATGGCAAGTGTCTCAGAAGGGACCCTCCCTAGCTTCTTGGGCTGTAAAGGTGACGGAGGAGAATTATACTTTTGAACTTGCAAGATTCTGTTAATGTAACCTTACAATAAAGTAGAATTAGTTCATCTGGGCATGCTTCCTGTCTGGACTACCTCTCAAGACTAATGCATACATACCTCCCTGGACCTTAAGTCTTCTCCAAGTCCCCCACCAAATGATGTGAGGTAAGCAGAAAACAAGGGGGAGAACTTTTTCTGTGGTGGCACCTCATTTATGGAATTCCCTCCCCAGAAGGTCTCAACTGGTGCCTACATTAGCATCATTTTGGTACCTTTCTATTTTCCCAGGCTTCTGAATTGGCTTTTAATGTATTGTTTTAGATTATGAATGACTGCCCTACTGCTGCCTAGTTTCTATGGTACTTTCATTTTGCATTTCAATCAATCAATTAATTAACAAAACTTTATTACAGGTCACAGACCCAACATTTTATTTTATTTTATTTTATTTTATTTTATTTTATTTTATTTTATTTTATTCAAATTGTATTTTTTTAGCATGTTGTATTATAAACCACCTGGGATCTTTAGCTATTGGGTGGGTAAAATGTTTAATATATAAAATCTGGAATATAATGCTTCTTTACCTTATTAACCATAGTAACATATGGTTATTTTGTTCTTTATCTTACCAAACACAGTAACATCCTTGTCATTCTTTTTGGTTAATTGTTAAGAGAGCTTTACTTGGAGAGAACAAGGCTTAGATTAAGCTATTTGAATAAGCTTTGTTCAAAAGATGCAAATTATGCTGAAAAATAAGTTAGGGAAAGACCTGGAAAGTATTTGAGAAGAAGACATCCAAAGGTTGTAGTCTAGACTAGGAAGTTGAACATTCCTGAAATCACCTCCGTCTTGCTGTCAGGAAAATTTCATGATTGTATACGTATAGTTGCGGGAGGTCTTGAGAGAGACTTTATCCCTTCTTGCCTGATTTTGAAGGAGTTTTAATGAAAAAACTCAAGTTCGTACTCTTTTTTAAAATTATATTTATTTTTCAAAATACAAAACAGTTTTATTCTGAGTCTTTCATTCCTTCTTATACAGTGGGGCAAAAAAGTATTTAGTCAGCCACCAATTGTGCAAGTCCCCCCACTTAAAAAGATGAGAGAGGCCTGTAATTTTC